GCTCGGCGGGGCCCCAGGGCGCTGCCGGGGGTCTGGGGGGGCCTGGCTGCCTCCGTGCCCGCCTCCCTGCTGGGGGCTCTGCGTGCCGCTTCCTGCCGCGACCCCCTTCAGGGAGCTCGGGGGGGCTGCAGAAGGCCGGCCTGGAGGGACCAGCCCGGTTCGCCCCCTGTATGGGCTGCTGCAGCCTTCGGGCAAGCTCCCTTAAAGTGTCTCCATTTGTATTTCAGTCACTTCTCACCAGCGTTAAGTCGCTTGAGGTCGTCCCGGTGACACGGCTGCGCGGACAGGTTGCAGTAGCGATGCTTGTGGTCTGAACCTTAACTTGGAAAGGGGCAGAGAATTGGCATTTTAGCATTCCTTTCCTAGCAAGGCATGGATAAAGCCAACCAGTCTTTTGTAACCCCATACACCAGCGTGTGTTTCAATTACCTGTGAGGGAGGAAAATAACTCGGGAACTGTGAAATCTGGATTTCATTCCCAGCTCAGTCACTTCTTGCGCCCTCCTGAGAAAATTGCCTGTCCTTGTGTGGGTTTTCTTATCAGTGAGCGTGGAGAGCGGTGCTGATGTGCCCTCGGGTGTATCAGGAAGCCACATTGAGCGTTGTTGTATTGCAGGGATTTCTCGGTTGAAACTGAAGTACTGTTCAGTCAGGCTGTGCCTCTGATTGAAAAGAACCCCAAAGAGTTCTTTACACTGAGAACCGCAAAATCTTTGTGCGGAGAGTGCAAAAGATTACCCACTCAGGTTGGGACCATTTATACCTGCAGGTGCAACTGAATGGAGTAAAGTGTGTTTTTAGAAGTTGACTGATAAAGGAAGCTGGCAGCGTTGCCTTCACAAGTCTTAATTTGGTTAGGCATGGTAAACCAGTGCAAACACCTGTGTGACTGTACTACTCCCACAAGGGCAGATGTGGTCCCGGTGGTCATGCAGAACGAGACAGGTTCTCTGATGTTTGGTTTTCTTCACCCTGGAGTAAAGGTTACATGCTACACTTGATAATTATTCAATATAAATATAACACAATGAAACCCTTATCTGCTAAGTGCTTTGTTTGGTGTCTGAATAATGTTCAGAAATTTTTTCTTAGTTGTTTGTATACAAACAACTTATTTTGTTGAGCTTGTTAATAAATAGTGGTTTACATTTCAAAAGCAACATGTTGGTGCTGGGAGGCAACATGGACACCAGAAATGTCAGGCAGCAGCTGGAGACAAAGACCTCTCTTTACCAGGACTTAAATAGAGCCTTTGTAGAAAGGGTATTTTTACCACTTAGCTTTCCAGTTAACCCCAAACAATTCAGCAGTACAATGTAAAATGGTAAACTACCTACAGGCCACAGTTTTTCTTTGCATTTTAGGCTCAAAAAGCAATAAGAATTATGTACACATGTTTTATCTGTAGCTGATATCAAAGGCAAAGGTATGATGTGCTGGCCTACAAGGTGAATCAGTTCATCATGGAAACTTAATTTAGTTGGTGTTTTGAAGCTGTGTAATGAGGAAGGAGGAAGTCTTAACTGACCTCTATTAGAGGTAATAATAAACATCTTTGCAGTTGGTATTATTTGGCAGCATCTGTAGAAGGAAAAGTCTGAAACCAGCATGGAATCTAATCTCCTTTCCTACTAGCAGGAGTAGATCCTTTTAGGGAACTGACCAGCCAGTCTGCAGAAATTTTGCTCAGATATTGCATGAATTGTTTTTGCTCCACAGATAAATCAGCAGTCACACCTGCTGGGTTCTTGGCCTGCCCTCTGAATGCTGAAGAAAAACCTGGCTCTGCTGACACTGAAACATTACTATGCTGAGTGTACCTTCCGATCCGCTGCCAGACAGAATTCAGCAGAGGAGAAAGGATGTATTAATATCATGTTCTTTTATTGACAGATTGAAAACCTAGAATGGCAGGAGAACAGAAACCATCGTGCAATCTTCTAGAGCAGTTTATTTTACTAGCCAAAGGTACAAGTGGCTCAGCTCTGACTGCTCTTATAAATCAAGTGCTGGAGGCTCCTGGGGTTTATGTCTTCGGAGAGCTATTGGAGTTGAAAAATGTGCAAGAGGTAAGAGATGAGTTTCTATCCTAATGCCTTTTCTGCACTCCCAATATAAGGGATCTCCAGAAGGTCCCACAGATAACCCTTGTGTGAAATTTCTGTGCCAGGAAGGGTCTGGTGCCACTTATCTTGGTTCTGAGATATTTTTGTGTGAGAGATTGACGTTGTTTTTCCCTGTATATATTAGACATTAAAAAATACCTACATAAAGCTTTGCTTCCTTAATGTGATTGCTAATACAGCAAAAACCTGGCATCAGCACCATCACAGTTTTAAGAAGGCACCTAGCCAGCCAACAATGAAGAAATCCTTTTCTGCTCCTTCACTGTCCTGGAAAGCATAACTGCAATGCGCTCTAAAAGTCTTTGTGAACAGATGTCTAGTGTATCAGGCCTGGGTAGTAACCAAATCCAAACCATTTCAAACCAAGGTGGAAAGTAAGTTCCAGAGCTTTTATTGAAAATGCCTCCCCAGCACCCCCCTCTACTACAGTGAGGAAATCTAGGTTGAGTATCTCTGCAGCTGGGATAATGTGGCATACAGCAAGTTTGGCCTTCCAAAGGGGCTCTTAGATATGCCAAAAAATGCCTCTCTAGTTTTTCAGCATCCAATCCCAAGTATGTTTTTTTCCTGAATCTGTGTTCAGCAAATCGTATTTAAAAAAAACCCTCAGTAAAAATCACTGCTTGGTCCTGCAGTTATTCCAGTGAAGTGTTTGCCTGTAAGAGGTAAGAGGAGTGCTGTTACTTTCCAATGTACTAGCTTGCTTTGCTTTGAAGTTTTTGTGGCTCTGCAGGTAAGCTGTCTTAGCTTTCCCACTAATAGCAAGGATGCTTAACCAACCAACACCACTGCCTTCTTTCTTGTCACATGATGAGAAGAGCTGGCCCTACAGTGTGTCAGCTGAAATTGAGTCACTTTTTTCTGTTACCTCCTAAGGTGCTGCACAAAGCAGTTGACAGTCCAAGCTGTAGTTATGTTCTGGTGCACAGAAATGGCTGGATCATCTTGTCTCTGAAACTGCTGAAATTTGCTGCTGCTCATGAGGCCTTAGAGCAGGTCCAGCTCTTTAAGATCGGGACATAATTGCTTTTCTGGGTACTTGTCCTACGTAGACTTAAAACGTTCTCTGGAGAAGTTGCCTACCAGGGTTGTCTTGCATGTTGCCACTTTATATGGAATTTCTTTTGTTTTCTTCCCATCCAGCTTGCTGAAGGGTCTCATGCTGCTTATTTCCAGTTGTTGAGCCTGTTTGCGTATGGAACGTACCCAGACTATGTAGGTAAGAGATGGCTTGTTTGCAGAATACGAGACTGGGTTGCCCTTTAGAATTGTCAGAGACAGTTCTTTGCTTTCTGTGGTAGCTGGTGTAGTGTGGCTGGGTGAAAGTGTCCAAGAACAGAATTTGCTCAGGAGGAGAATTGTTCGTAGGGGGTCTCTGGGTCATATGTGCTTTTGGATTGCTGAAATGTGGAGGAAGGACAAGAGACTATGATGTTTTACTGGTTTGGATTGCGCTGCAGCACTGGATTGAGTTGGTCTGTAGCAGGATTCATTGATGTTCACAGGCCACTTAACTCTGTGGAGTGCAATTTCAGACATCTGTTTTGAAATTCAGATGACACTGGTTATGGAAGCTGCAGAAAACTTAGACAAAATTGTTCTGCATTATTTATAAAAACCTATATGGTTTATGGGACAACCTTTTATTCTGTGATGGCATTGCTGAAACAAAATGAAGCATTTCTTAGCTAGAATACAAATCGAAATAATGACTTTTATACAGCTTCGGAAGGACTATGTGTGAATCATCTTAGTATCTGTCGAGATGTGCTTTTATCTCTGGTGCTTATGCTTCCATTCTGCTACAATTTAACACTTCATTTGTGGGTAGCAGCCTAATCCAGACCATTACAGAGTGTGACAGATAATTCTGTCATAGTGCTGGCTGTCACTGTGGTGGGTGAGCTATCGAGTTCCTGTAAGAAGTGGCACCCATAAGTGCAAGGACTGGAAATTCCAGTGGCTGTGGAGCAACACGAGCCTCATGAATTCTGTGACTGATGAGAGGATGTGTTTGCTGTGCATGGGTCTTGTGTCCCAGCATGTGACAGTGCAGTTTGTTCTTCCTTTTCCAGTGAAGAAAGAGAAAGGGGGAAAAGTAATCAAAATGTAGAGCTCCAAATGAGGTGGGATAGATGGGAGGACTTGAGTGGCTCTGCAACACTAATTTCCATTAAAGCAGATATTTTAAAGAGTTTCTTTGCTTTGGAAGGCCGCCAGTTTCCCTTCTGTTTTTAAATATTCATGAGGCACATGGATATAATACAATGACAGTAAGGCCATCTAGATTAGTAATTTCTCCTCTCTTCCTCAGCCTGGTACTTTACACTTTCAACCCTAAATTCTGCAGCTCTTCAGAGAAATAAAACCAGCTGTATTTACAACCAGATCAGCAAAGGGGGAAGATTTTATTCTGTCAGCTTGCTAATGAAATAAAAATGACTTGGTGGTAGAAACAAAGCATTGACCAACCGTTTTGGCAGGACACCACTTGTGTAGATGTGAATTATGTTCTAATTCCAAAACCAGAATTACTAAAGAAGCATAGAAGAATGGAATTGCCAACTTGTTTTTTAACTTTTCCCCTCTCTCTCTGGGCATGCTAATCTGTCATCAGCAGCAGCTCACTTTGCTCACCAGCACCCACAGTAGCTGGAGAAGTTCAGCCTTTACAGCCTAGTGTAGTGTAACTAGCCTGAAATTCTGCAGCCTGGATATATATTTCTTGAAGGAGAGTCCCAAATCTTGTCTTTTTAACATCAACAGCAAACAAAGATAACCTGCCTGAATTAACAGTGACTCAGAAAAACAAGCTGAAACACTTGACGATTGTAAGCCTGGCTTCCAGAATGAAGGTAATGTACACCGTGTATGATAGCAGTCTTCTTTTTGTTTGGTTTTGAAAATGGCGTAAATTCTGTAGCATTCAAGTTATATCAGCCTGCATGAGTAATCACAAAAAATCCTGCATCTAGGAAACTACCCGTAATATACGGTGTTCTCTCATGGTGCATTTGGGACAATCCATGGAAGTCCACTGGGTTACATGTGGGGGTGTCTGAACTGCCATGCAAATTGGTCAGGAAGGGTTGGGAAACTTTGCATGGCTTCTTCCATGGCTGGAGATGGAGAATCATTCTTAAAAACACTGACTTTTTGTTCTAGAGAAAACCAAGCAACAGTCTTAATTACTTCTGCAATCCCATTACCTTTTTTCCTCCCAAATGTGCTATGCCAAAGCTTCAGGAGTTACCAAAGTTGTTTCGGAATATTATGTAGCCTAGTAGCAGGCGTTTGTTCTGCTACGATCAGTCACTGCTGTACTTGCAGGCTGAAGTGTAGGGTACAGTAAACACTTGGGTCTTGACCTGAGACTCAACTGTTCGTTCATTTTGTCTCTAGGACTGTTAACTTATTCTTGGACTTGCTGTTTTCAGTGCATTCCCTATTCTGTGTTGCTGAAGGACCTGGATATGAGGAATCTGAGGGAGTTGGAAGATCTGATTATTGAAGCAGTTTATACAGATATTATCCAGGGGAAATTGGATCAACGAAACCAGGTGCTAGAGGTGGACTTTTGTATCGGCAGAGACATTCAGAAGAAGGACATCAGTAACATTGTCAAAACACTCCAGGAATGGTGAGGCAGTCTCTCCACCTTCCTTGTTCCTTGTACATGGCTTGTTCTGTTTTTTTTTTTCTTACTCCTCAAAGTTTCAAGTGCTGGCTCAATTTCACCATGTTCCATTAATCAGGAGTCTTACGCTGTAAGTAGGTACTTGGAGGAAGAGTCTATTGGGCATGTTTTCCAAGATCCCATCTAGGATTTAATTTGTGTTATGTATCAAGCCAAACTGTACTAGGTCTTGAGAGTCTGCTCTCCCCTTAGTTCTTACATGTCAGAACCCTAGTGAGGAGTCAAGGCCTCTTCAAACAGATGTGCCAGACTGGGGTCATGGTCTTATGGTGGGAGCTACTACTCCCCCTTCTGCTGTTACGCTTGATACTGAAAACAGTACACTCCATTACTTTTCAGCCTTTTTCACTGTGATGAGGACTGCATGGGCAAGTTCTAGAGAATCACAGTTCTTTGGAGGGGATGTCTCTTCAAGTCTGAAGTTTCAGATGCCTTTGTTTTCTCTTTGTCCTGCAAATGCAGGCTGCATGCAACCATACTGGGTCTGTGGTACTATCTTTTTGTACCTTTGCCAGCAGGCTGCTTCTCATCCTTTTGTCGGATTCCTTTCCCACCCAAACAAATTCTTCTGTAGACTGTGAAGCCTGTGGCAGGTTCTGAGCTGGCTGGGAATTGCTTCCCAGTTACTATGGTAATGAGTGCATGAAAAGTAATTAAACTGCTGGGCAAATATGCTGTCTTGAGGAGGGGGCAGGTTTTTTGCTTCTCTGCTCCAAATTCCCCAATCTCATGGTGGGAGGGCTCTGGCAGCTTCCAGGACCTTACAGCATTGTTTGGAAAGTAACAGTGAACCACTACCAATTCCCTTTCTGTCCTGTCTGGTTATGAGTTCTGTGTTGCAGGAGTGTTCTTGTCGTTTGAACACTTAACAGGCAGGGGGATTCTGTCAATCTAACTTTTTGGCTTAGTTTTAAAGTTTTACTTACTTTTGAAAAATATGTTGCATCCGTTTAAGCAGTAATTCTGATTGCAAAGGAAGTTGAAAGTGCATCGAACCTGCACTTTTTGGTGGGCAGGTAAGTAACATGGACTGGCTAAAGAATACTGTGGAATACACTGAATAAGCAGCAAAGCTTTTTATTGCTAACTTTTTGGAATTCTTAAGCACAAAGCGTCAATTTAGTGATCTCCTAAACTTTTAAGTGAGCATGACTTTGCCTGATTGAGCTGCTCCAGAGTGGACTTGTAAACACTGTTTGACATTGTATCTTGCAGGTGTGAATGTTGTGAAGCGGTTCTTTTAGGAATTGAGCAGCAAGTACTTAGAGCCAACCAATACAAAGAGAACCATCACCGAACTCAACAGCAGGTAGAGATGGAGGTGGGTACAGGGTCACTTCAGACCACTTATGGTTTTTGATAAATGTTTCTTTACTGAAGAAAAGAATATGGTAACACCTGGATAATGGTCATGGCTTCTTTGAAGTAGGCTAGCAATCATGCAAACCGGATGTGGTGGTTTGAGGTAGGAAGAAAACATGTCTGCTTCCGTGTGCTAGTAATACCACAAACATCCAATTTGCCCACTCCAAGCAGGTTGGAACTTTTCTTTATAAATTTTTATAAATTTTGGCTAGGTGGCTACACTAGTTATGCTTTTCTGAATTGATTTGTTAGGAAAAGTGTGCTTTTAACACAGAGCTTTCGTGCAATCCTCTTCCTTTTGTACAAGTCAGGAAGGAAAAGACAGTTCTCTTTGTTTTAAACCTGAAAGTGTAATTAACAAAAATCTCTCGAGTTTCATTGCTTTTGCAAAAAAGTGTCCTCAGCGGCTTCCTTTGGGGTCTTTCTCTTGGGGGACAAGTTGAGCACCCAGACAGGCCTCTGAGCTCTCGTAGCAGCAGTGGCTGGGGAGCGCTCCTGCCTCTGCTCCACGGCAGCTAGGCGATAGATGGCAGCAGGGGCACGCGATTGTAGCCCCTGCTGATGTGTATTTACTTGTGAGAACAAATCTTGGCTAATACAGCTGTAAAGGTGAAAATGGTCCTCCCGAGACGCTTGCTCAGGGTTTATTTCTTGCGGAGTGCTGCATCCCTGCAGGTTTACGTTTGCCTTCTGAAGCAGCATATGCTTGGCGGCTTGACTGGCACCCATGGTGCATTTGGTTTGCCAGATGCCTTTGGCCTGGAATTGGCACACCTGACTCCTAAACTTGTTTTGGCCTGTGTTGGGGTTTTTTTTAAGGTTTGCTCATTGTATTTCTGGTGAGCTCTACAGGGTTCCAGGGGACATAGTGCCTGGTGCTGTATCTCTCCTTTTCAACCAGAGTAGCAGAAGCGGTACTGTTGCCTCACACAAAACCAATTTCTGTTCTTGCTTCTAGCAAATATCTGTGTCTCAGACAGCTAGCTAGGCCAAATGGCATTTTCCCTTTCTGAGTGCTGCCCTAAGTGTAAGTTTGTTTTTTTCACAGTCTCCTTTGTCCTTCCTGCTTCTGGCAACATAATGGTAGGATGACTGCCTTCTGTACCAAGGCAGTAGTAGGTCCCTCCAGCCAGCCAGAAAGGTGGTACAATATTGTGCCATTCGCTCTTCAGAGAAGAAAAAAAAAAATCTAGTTTTTCCGTATTGGACCCAGACTGGAAATATTTATAACTCCTGGCTCCAAGTGAGGATGAAACATTACCTTTAATAAACCCAAGTGCAGAGCATGTTTCTGATGGGAGAGTTTATTTTATAATCTCCACGCTACTCCAGGGGTTTTTCAATATGTATATAAGCAGAGTTTATACTGCAAGGGGAGGAAGAAGCAGGTGCTGATTCACTGTCTCTTCTTGGCCAGGTCACAAACATAAAGAAAACATTAAAAGCTACAGCCTCGTCGTCGGCACAGGAGATGGAACAGCAGCTGGTAGAGCGAGAGTGCCCTCCACACACAGAACAAAGGCAGCCCACAAAGAAGATGTCCAAAGTCAAAGGGCTGGTCTCCAGCCGTCACTAGAACATGCCATCTAAATGTCGTTCAGCTAGGAATGACAACAGGAGGAGCAAAAAAGGGCCTGTGTCTCCTTTTGCAGTGGGTTCTGGGCCAGTCACTTCCAGGCTGGTAAATAAAAGCCCTGTTTGAATACAGCTCCCAGTTAGCAGCACCTGGCTAAGTTACACTGTGCAGCCCATATTAAATTCCAGGGTGTTCTTGTTCTAGTCCTGTAAAGAGAGACTTCTAAAGAGAGGGACTAACCAAAAGGGGCAGGAAAAAAAAATAATCTGTGGACAGTTTTGCTCCCTCCCAGCCAGTCTCATTGCTGCTTAACCTTGAGGAAGCTGCTGTACTAAATCAGATCTTGGGAGAACTTCTGTAGCAAGTGTCTGAGTCCCAGGGTTGAAGTGTGGCTACCAAAGCCAGGCTGGGAGCGAGGAAGCCATCAACACAGATCTTTACATTCCCAAAGGGAGCGCAGAAAGGTTTCTAGGCCAGGAACTGCTTTACATGGAAGTCTTCAGCCTTTCCGCTACCCCTGTCTATTTTAAACTGGGGTGAAATTCACACTACCTCGCTCTGTGGAGATCCAGTGCTGGGCTGTTTACTTAACTGTCTGTTTACTGCCCTTACAAAGCCCTTCAATCTCTCGAAGATTTAAAGCACTGTTCTGCATCTCTGAGGCATCAATACAATAAGGAGGAAGTGAGCTGCTCTTTCAAGCCTTCCTTCTTGCAGGTGGTTAGGAGCATACTAGAAACTGTTCCTTCTGAATGTGATGGGACTTCCCAGAGCTGCTTGTGAGTTGTTTCCCCCACTGATACCTTCAAACTGATGCGTTTGATCTTCCTTGGATGCTAGTGACAGTGGTCGGCATGGGAGAAGAGCCCATTTAGCATCGTGGCAGGCTGGTGGCCCAGGACCCGCTGGCAAGGGTTGCAGCAGCATCCCCTTGAAGCAATGGACTTGACTAGTCTTTCTGAATTTTGAACACTTTCAGGTTGTATTTTCCTCACTTTTTTTGTACATTGTTGTGATTCTAAAGCATTTCAGCCCTTGTTTTGTGTTTTTTATTTGTTACAGACTAACTTCAGGTGATTTGCACCTAGTTTGGCAAGGTGTGGGTTGTTTTTTTTTTTTAAGGGGGAGGATGGGGTTGGCATTGAAACAGCAATTCACAAAAAAGCACATTTTAGAAAAAAATTAAAAATGCTGATTTAATGTCAGAGTCTGGAGTCTTGGTTTTGAGGCTGTTTTAGGCTTGTAGTCCAATGACACTTGCTCAATTGAGCAGTTATATGATTCTTGATGTTATATTATCAGAAGGTCTGACTAATGTCCCTAATGCATCCGGGAGGCAGGGAAGTGCTTTTCCCATTTTGTCAGTGGTTTGTTCAAATTTGTGCCGAAGGATCTGTGGCAAAGCCAGTAGCTGAGCCCAGTGTCCTGAGCCTGAATACCTTTGATGCCTGATTGTGGAAGGTTTGTAGTTGTGCTTTGTATTAGGCCAGTTGATTCCTTCCTCTGGGTCTAGCAGAGTATTGCTTTGTAGTTTGGCCCCTGCATTTCACTTCACTCCATGCTGTAAAGAGAAGGGCTTTCAGTGAGTGGGCAGAGGAGCTGTTCAAACAGAGGACTGTGACAGTGCTCCAGCCCTGCAGCCAGCTGTCACCTGCACTTACTTGTGTAATGCACGTGCCTTCCTCTTATTGCTACCAGAATTCTTTGCCATCTGTGTGTTTTCAGTCCTCAGCCACAGGACTTGTACTCTTGTGAAAGTATATTCCTCTCCTTCTCCTGCAGTGCAGGCACACCAGCTTTTAATCTTGAGAGGTGGATCTAAATACTTCCCATCCAGCTTCTGCTGAGTCTAGTCCCTTGGTTTCTGATTCTTTGCCAGCTCACTCTCCCCCTAGAAATGCTAGCCAAAAAAGTCCAAGGGAAGGATAAGTGAATATGAAGCCTTTCCCTGTATCTCAAGGGAACTGTTTCCCAAGCAGCAACAGTACTAGTTTCTGAACTAACTTCTTCCACTGTTTAGCTGTCAGCTTCTCAGGAGGTGTAGGTAGACTTTGTGTACCCAAGTATAATCAATCGGTGTGATGGAGGTGGACTGAGTCTGTTTCTGGCTTTCCACGTGGGCAGCTGCAGTGTACTGGCCATCCAGTTCCTCACTAGATTTGACTAGTTTCTCACTAGTTTGAGAAGAGGTTCTGTGGTCCTCCCTAGCTGTTTTCTTTCCTTCCCATTTTTAGTATCAGTCCTGTGAGGAGGTCGGAGAATAGAAATGCCTTTGGAAATCGTTTTAGCTTCTCGGCAAGCTGCAGTCTGCTGGGGAAATAGATGTGAATTTGGCATCCTTGGTGTTTAGTCCTTGCCAGTTACAGGAGTCACATTAGTTTGCTGAAGCTTCTTTAGTGCGTTGGAAGTTTTTGAGCTTGTTCTTATGTTTTTGCTGTTCTTAAAGCCTGGCTGGGGGTGAAGATCTTATTTATGCTTCAGTACACATTGCCTTTGATCAGCAAAGAAGCAAGGGAGGAAATAGCACTTTGAATAAAGAGCTGTCCCATGCTTGACGGTGATAGAGGACGGAGAAGGGAATGGGGTATTGGAGGGAACCGAGCTGTTTGCGTGTTTGGCTTTCCTGGTGTGCCAGCAATGTGCTTGGTGCCGCAAAAGGAGGGGGGTGTCTTTGCAATGAGCCCAGTCGGAGATGAGTCATTAACAAATGACATGCACAGAGTACCTGGGGGAGGCAAACAGCTCTGCAGCAGCTGGTTAATGAATCTGGCTTGAAGGAAAGAGTTAGAAGCTATTCCAGGAATGAAGCAGAAGGCACAGTTGTTAACAGGGAAGGATGCAGGAGGTGCTATGCTGTTTGAGAAGGACAGCAGAAAAAGGCTGCATTGAGTCCCTGTGACTGCAGGGAGGGCAGCAGCTTAGAGTGCAGTTGTGTGAATTGGTGGCTGGTGGGGACTAAATTGTTGGACAGTTTCAAGTGGGGAGTGCCTGGCGAGCCTAATTGTGCTCTGGGAACAAGAAGGAGATGGAAGCAGAAGTGGATTTGATGCAAACCCTCATGTATTGCTTGTGCCTGCTGGAGGCAGCTAACGCTGTTTGTCTGAGCGCTGCTGGACACTGCTCCCTGATGTGGGGACAGCATCCTGCCCTACTTTGTTTTATGGCAGCAACGGGCTGCTCCAGCTGCAGCTCACTTCAAGACTGCAGCAGGACAGAGTTTGAGCTATTGAACTTCTGTTTCCCTCCTCCACCCGGAGGGAGACAAAGTAGATGGAGCTGCCTTCCCTCTGCTCTTCAGGGCTTTATTGTCTAGCTTCATGTTCTACAGCTCCACTTGTACTAGTGCTTGTTTAATATGGAATTGAGCACTGAGCTGGAAAATGAAAGAGAGGATCTCAGCTGATTGCAGTGCTGGTAGACTGCCCTAGCCCTAAAGCTGTGCCTCATGCTAACAAATGTCCCTGGCATTCCTGCTGTGACTCGGTTGATACCAGCTAACATCAGGCAATTCTGGAACATGATAAAGCAACGCTGATGTCAATCTTTTTACAGAAAATAAGTTTTTGCTCAAAATCCATTGTTCTTTTACTTCCCTCCTCAACTCCTTAGATAAGTTGAATGCTATCTTAGTCTTCTGTTGAGAGCAGGAGGGAAAATCAGTGATGCTAACAGACCCTTCTGTGTTCAGATTTGAGACCCATCCTGCAATCAGTCTTGTGAAGACTTCTGGAATCCTGTGGGTGCTTGTGGACCTGTGCGCAGGCTTGCAGGTCGGACTCCATGTATTGTGTACAGGAGTAGGACCTGCAGACCTGCTCCCCAGAGTGAAGCTGGGGAAAGTGAAGCTTTTGTTCCCGTAGGAGGGAGTGATGGTAAGAGGTGGCCATTTTTCCACCAGTCCTACAAAGTGAATTTTGCTGAACAGCTTTCTGTTCCTGGAAGAGTGGAAAATCGTACAGAACTCAGTAGGTGTTTTTGATTTTTAGTGTTTGCTTCTCCTGTGAGGGGAAAATGCATTGGTCCATGTGTGCAAGAAGAAAGTTGGGTTTACTCATTGGAAGGGAGGCAGAAGGAAGAGTGCTATTAACTTTGATAGCTGTATTGGAATGTAACAAGTCATGTGGGGGAAACAGGCTTTTCTTAAACTTTCAGCTCTGCACAGGTTTATTTGAGCACATCTAAGCTCTTTAGGGAGGCCTCTGACCTTGAAAACCGTGTAAAGCCCAGCTCCTGCTGGGGTAAAACAGTCACAGCTTGTGCATTCCTAGGTGTGTTGCTGCTGGTGGCTTTGTTACTTCAGTATCTGAGCCTGTTGCAAACTTTGCAATGGAGAGAAACAGCGAATAATGGGGAATTCCGAATAATGGGGAAATGGAGAAATTAAAGAACCTGCCTCACAGGTATATAGACCCAGCTAGCCAGATGTCTGGTACCTACTCCCATACAAAGTTTTCTGTTGTTTTATCCCCTCCAAGTCCTTTATGGCATCTGACCTAATGCAAGGGAACCAAAACCTGAATCTGTCTAGCTGATTTTTGCGTAATCTGAGAGAAAGTAACCCACGGGCATCAAGAAAGGTAAATTAAAGTTTAGAGTGATCTCAGCTCCTACTTGTAACCTCAACCGTGTATTTTTATTATGGAATTTTAACCTGACAGTCTGACTGAATTTCTCAGCAGAGATTTTAGAAGGATGTCATTGTTTCACTCTGCTCTGTGGCAAAGGTCAGTGTCTCTCAGGGCCTGTTGACATTTTGCTGATATTTCATCAAGTTTGGCCCTACCACAGAACTACCAGAGGTAAGTGATTGAAGCTAGAGAGGTGTACTGTAAAGAGAGTGTGTATTTACCCCCTAGCCTAGGCTGCACCCTCCTTCTTAGTGGCACTGTGGTGGTACCCCCTTCTCTGATTAGTGAACCACATAAGGGATTACTCAGAGCAGCACTTCGCTCACTGTCTCAAAATACACAGGCACACATGCTTCTTTTTCCCACAGTGTGTAGACCTCACAAGATGCTCTGATATATTTACTACAGGTTGCAAATTGCATCAGTAGCTGTGAGCATGGCGCTTTCTTGTCAAGAAGAAAAGCTGTCCCTGTCCTAGCAAATGAACGTACACACTGGAAATTCTAGGTGGTAATGGTACACCATAAGGTCATTTAACAGTTCTGAAATGTGTATTTTGCCACAGAGTGCAAAAGAATTTGTGCCAATAGTCCTTGCTTGGTGTAATTTTAGTAGAAGATAGGACACCCTTCCACAGGTCCAGGTCTCCTATAGAGGCTTGTGAACCTCTATATCATCAGGGCATTTTTCAAATGCTCAGGCAGACGATACCTCTGTGTTTCCAGAAGAGCTGATTGTGGCGGGTAAGTGAAGCCTCGCTCCATCAGAGATTGGCCTTTTTGTGAGTATTTTGAGCTTCTCTGACTGCAGGGTTGTATCTTCATAGGTGCGGAGTTTGGAAGTAGTGCTGTCTAGCCCTCCAGACTCTTCCTGAGGATGCTGTTTATCTAACCAGCCCTAATGTTTCAGTCGCTGTCTCATGATCAGCACAGTCCTAAGGCTGCCTGCGCTGATGCAATAAGTAACGTCTTGGTGTTTCATTGTCACCTTCGCAGCTGTTAGAGAGCACCAGTTCCTACAGGATCACCTGCCAGCTGTGATGCTATTCCTTTTACATCATGACTGTGAGATGACACCTCTGCTTGCTGGCAGACAAGCCAGGTGGGTAGGCATTGCTCCTCGGAGCTGTTCTGCATCTAGGGAGGCACAGGCTCTTGCCTGTTTTAGCGTAATGGAAATCAAGGACAAAGGACAGTGTTATAAATAGGGGGCAAAGCGCAGAGCTGTGTCTATTCCAGCTCTGCTACAGCTGCAGAAAGAAACCTTGGGCAAGTCAGCTCCTCTGCAGCTGCGTTTCCCAGGACAGCCTTTTGTGTGCTGACTTTGTGACAGAGGTTTGGAAAGTGCTTTGGTATCCTGGCTGGGCAGAGGTTCATTGCTGATGGAATTGAAGAAGATGCATGTGTACGGGGAGGGGGGGACTCTTAAAGCTTTTTAAGCTTTTCCAGAAGCCATCATCCTCCTGTGTACCATACCCTTCTTTTCCCCTGACACAAATAAGGTGGTCCACTATGGGAATATCAGCCTGGAGTATTATGGGTAATATGCCAGGTTAATTATGGAGGGGGCAGGAAAAATAGCCTGTGTCGTTTTCAACAATATCAAAGGGATGCTACCTAATGATTTTCCTATTAGCTCTTTTCCCAGCCTGCCAGAGTCACTGCAGAAGTGTCATTTACAAAGGCAGTTTGCAACTCATTACCCTGGATTTTCACTGTAGTTCTGCTCCAGAGAGCATGGGCTTTTGCTGTGTGCCCCAACCTAATGAATTGCCTGATTCGGTTAGTGCTGCCATCCCTTCTGACAAGGTTAGTCGCTGACTGACAGGAAGGGGCCTGAATTCAATTCCCTTCTTGTTTTCGACTCACGCTTGTGTCAAGCGCAGGCTCCCTCTGGAAGCTGCTCTGTTATCCCTTCCCTTTGTTTTTCTGCATTCTGAGGGAAGCAGCCCATGCTTGGAGAAGTCCTAGAGCAAGTGGCAGGGGCATGTGTGCTGCTGCCCCCGGCAGTCCCTGCTCAATGCCTCAAGTCCCTTTCCAGCTGGAAAATTCCACTGTTCTCCTGCTCTGGGGCTCTGAGATTTTCTTTTTCTTCATTGATTTGGGATTTCCTGTCACCTGAGCTGGGCTTTGTAACCCTTCAGCAATAAATACCTTGGAAAAGTTGCATTAATGGTACCAGGGAAGAACATGCAGTGCAGGCTGGGGGAACCAAATAGACTTCCCACACATTAGAGGGCAACTTTGTCCCTGTTGTGAGAGCTCCAAGGTCTGCTCTGGCCTGTTTGGGCTTTGCAAGGCACTTGTTCAACAGCTCTTGCCCTTTTTCACTGGAGAGCAGCGTGCTTTTTCAGGCTGAGGGCCTATGGCTCATCTCATGGTAGGAATAGCTTCTGGAGAAGGGAAATCAAGGCTGTTCCCATGTCGTGTCACAAGTGCTCCCACTTGGAAGCTGCATGTGGCTACTGCTTATTCAGCTGGTAGTGCAGGAAACTTGTAGGTCCTGTGAGTGCTAGTTTGACCTGAGTGTGGACAGAGGAGCCTGGGACTCCTGCCACCCTTGCTCCCAGGTGTGTGTGTACACCTCTGCTAAAGGCTGTTCTCTGAGCATGCTGCAGAGATGTCAGATGCCACCCCCCTGAGGCTGCAGATTTCATCCAGGACAGCTCTTGCTGTTCAGTTAATGCTTTTTCCGGGCTGAGATGTGGGAAAGGGGTTTTCCAGTGCGGGCCTTATATCCTTTTACTGGGTATTGTGAGGATTTGACCTAGCTGGCCCGCAAGGGAGGCAGTGATGTGAGATCAATTTGTTTCTACTGCACGTGATGCCTCCTCCCCTACTAATTAGATTCCTGTGGCCCCTCTGTTTCCTGCTGGCCTCATTTCCTACTGAGTCCCTGTCAGGGAGACCCAGTTGTGGCTTTATCAGGTGCTTGCTGTGCTCTAATGAACCATTTCCATGTCCTGTTCTGGCCTGTCCACCAAACCGAGCAAGGTGCTTGTCAGCACTCTGAAAACTGATCTCTACTCGCAATGCCAGTCTCTGCCCGCCAGACCCACCAGTCTGGCTGTGCCACATGGGTGCTAAGGTTGAGTGGATCTGGAAGTTTTCCCAAGTGCTCTTTCACCCCCAAGTGCTACCTCCTCTGTTGCACATAAGCTCACACCCCAACGTGGGCACGACGTTCCTGTCCTGCAGGTGGGAAACCAGCGTGCTGAGGGACAGGGTGACTTATCCCTGGTCAGAGCAGAAGCAGTAAGGCAAGGAGCCAAGCTGTTATCCCCTCCCTCTGCACAGGGAGCTCTCGCTCTCATCGTTCTCCTTCTGCCAAACTAGTGTCCTTTTGCAATGCAGCTTTGTCCTTTTCCTTGGGCTTGCTCTTTTCCAGGAAGCCCAGTGAAGGAAGGAACCTGTGCTGTGGGGCTGCGCTTTTCCCCTCGGACTACGCTGCAGAGGAGAAACGGGAATCCAGACCGTGTGCGACCCCAGACTGGGATCTCTGGGATCTCCCCCAACCTGATCTCAGGTTGCACCTCACTTAGGTGGTCAAATTTTGTGGATTGAATTCCTGAGACTGAGTTCCCTCTGCTCAGTTGAGGAGAGGCCCCCTGTCACCAGGCAGATGCTTTCATTCCAGCTCTGGCTTTGCAGCAAAAAGCCAAAACTGGGTGGGAAATTGGTCCTGTCTTGGTCCAGCCTGGTACTCTGCTGTGGTCACTGCTTCACGCTCAAGGACCAGGACCCTGAGGGGGACCCACAGTACCATCCCCTTTCACCACTCTTCAGATCTGGTGTGCAAGGTCTGTGCAGGAGGTGATTTCCTTATTGTCCCTTAGGTTTGCTGGGTGACAGCAGACAGTCCCCTCTGATGGACATCTCTTTAGGAGCTCCTGGTACAGCCTCTCCTTCCCTTTAAAGGTGTGTGGAGCCAGTAGGGTGGTTGTATTTGCCTCACAGAGCTCTGACAATGGGTTGTTACCTACAGACACTTCTGGAGGGCTCAAACTGACCCAAGACAGGGCACAAGTTGCCAGTGCCCCATCCTGCCTCCATCCTTCCCAGCCCGACCTCCCAGGGTCTTGATTTTCTTCCCCATAGGCAACATCTGACATGGTCCATCAGCTGCTGCTCCCCGTCCAGCTGGACTCAGTGGGCACTGCGAGGTGGGTACCTGTCTCTGACAGAGGCTTTGATTGTACGAGGCTGCAGATGTCACATGTGTGCTCCTAACCTGATGATTGAGCTCTCGGGATGAATCCCCTTGTTCTGTAAACCTAATGTTCTCTAATAGTTGGGGAGAGTCTGGCTGGAGGTTTCTATGGTTTCCCGGTGGTTGCTAAGGAAAAGGATCTCTCTGCCTCTAGGTCTTGGTGACTTTCTTTTTGCCCTGTCCTAGGCACCAGAGCCCAGCAGAACATAATGCTCGTTGTTTCCCAGCCCACTACAATGGTCAGGGCATAATTTGTGACTCCCGTCACGGCTGGGCTGGGTGCCTGCCACTCTTTTTTTTCTAAGGCGTCTTTGAAGAACGAGACCAAAGAGCCTTCATGCAGGAGTTTGTGTGTTTGCTGTGCTCCCCGCCCCCTCGCTTGCTGTTTCCTTTAGAGCTCCGAGTCATTTTAACGATTTATTTCATGCACTTTACATAGCAAGAAGCTGTAGCAACAGCTGTGTCTGTGAATCCTTACCAGGCAGCCCTCGGTATATTTTAGTCTGTCTATGTATTGTCTCAGGCACAGTTAAATAAATCTCTGCTGGAGGAAGGGACTTTACAGCTTAGCAGCAAAGGTTTGGCGAATGGGAATATCGACAAGATACTTAGTGAGCTGCTGGATCCTAAATAACAGCGCCTCCGGCATAAAGCTCTGCTCCCACTAGCGCAGCTGGGGGCCGGATCCAGCGCTGTCTCTTTGTTGCTGTCAGCGGGGACCGCGTCTCCCTACGGCGCCCCGTGACAGAGCTATAGCTACAGGATGAGATTTGGACCCAAACCTGCAGACTGGGAAGCGGTTAAAGAGTCCAGGCCGAATGCTGCTCCTGTCACTCTGCTCTCAATCCGGGTCTAGGCCATTGAAGGTGGTGGGCTTGTTTCCACCGGTGCTGCTCAGGGTCCGGGCGATGGGCGGGTTGCCTGAGGCTGTGTGCTTTCGCAGGGAGCTCAGCTGGGTTCTGCTGAGGCTTGCGGCTGCACGCAGCACCAGGCAGGATTTGGTCCATCGGAGCATCACAGGATTTGGGCGCAAGTTTACTTTTACATAGGGGATCAAAGCTGGCCTTTCTCTCGCTCCTGACTTTTCTAAAACATCTGAACAATTTCTTCTTTAACTCTATTAAAATCAATCACTCTTGACATAGAAATTGTGAATTTGATAAATAAAGACAGGTTACAAAATGGCACATGGAATGATTTTTTTTTTTAAAGTTTTTCAACTATTTAGGACAAAAAATGTTACAATGCTTGACTTTTCATTTAGTTACATAAATAATTTTTTTATAAATATCTCTTTATAAACAATATATAAATAGCTTTACAACATAAATACATTTATGCATGACATGAATTTACAAACAGCAACGTTATACAGCTGGCTTCATCAGTCTCTTGGAAAAGCACTGTCCCTTGTCTCGGTGAGTGTTTGTATATATAATATATATAAGATAGAGAGCACTTTTTAAAAAAATAACAAAACCAAAACAGCTGGTGCCATGACTCCTCGTACCAAAAAGAAAAACACAGCCACATATTTTGTCCATTCCAGGGGGGGTCTCTGCTCTTCTAGGCGTTGCCTGGGGGATGGCCCTGCCTGGCCACGGTAGGAGAAAATGGACTACAGTTTCAAAGCCCTGTGAGGAATGAGAACAAAGTGCCTGTTAGTACTTGCCATACAACACCTCGTACCCATCCCAAGCTGGAGCCCCTGGCAGAATGATCCTGGCATAGGGCTTGGGGGTGCTGAAGTCAACAGAGGCTCTCTGAGCTTTTTGCTTGTGCTAAAGCAAGGAAGAAGCTCACCCTTTGCTTTCCGGCTGTTGAGTATTTAGGGGGGAGGCTCAGAGAAGCGTGCTGCTCCTCCTGGCCCTGGGTCTAGCAGAAGTCTTTTTTGTCCTGATGAGAATTTAATGAGAGAGGATGGGTGCGAGCTGGCTGCACAGCGTGTGTGTGCTTCTCAGAGCCCTGAGCTGGGCCATTCCTTGGGCGACCTGAGGAGCCTCTACACGAGGGAGCAGAGGAGCAGCACGCATCCCTCTGGGCATGGCCATGGACCAGCCTGGGGGTCCAGCGGGCACATCTGGGCCCTGCTCTTCCCGTTGCTTTGCAGAGCAGCAGGATGCCTGGATCTGGTCCCCTCTGTGCCCGTTTATGCTACCGCAGGGCCAAGACACGTCCCTGTGCGGGGGCAGCGCCGTGCTGAGGGATGAAGAGCAAGCGGCCTGGGCTGCAGCAGGTGAGCGCTTCCCCAGGTTAGAGTTCCACTGCGTGTCACCTGCTGGCAGGGACCGTGCCAGGGTGGTACCTCCTCCCCCCATCACTCTCAGCGAGGAGCTGCTGTGCTTCTCCCAGACAGTCACTGCAGGGAAGTGACACTTCTCCAGCCCATCGGTCCCTAAGCACAGTGGCCCTGGAGCACTGTGGCGGGAGCTTCTCCCAGCTTTTTAGAACTTGCTCGGATGCACAGCCTGAGTTAGGAAAACGCTACCCTTGGCTGTCACCACAACTAGGAGACACGTGGGGAAGTTGTGTACTGTTTTTCCTTAAATGAAAAGAAGTGGAGCATGGCCGAGACAGCTGCCTCACTCATCCTCCCACCACTGGCGCGTAGGGGGTCCCGGCCCTCCTAACGCCTGTCCGTAGGCCACCTGTGTCTGTCAAGCACAGGGAGCAACCGGGAGCGTACGGCTGAGCCCGGGGATCGCTCCCGGGGGTCTCTGGTCCTTCTGCCGGGCCGGGCCAGGCCGCCGGGCAGCGGGAGCGCTGCTG